AAAGATCATCTTTTTTCTCCTCACACACACTCTACTAAGAGGGGAAATAGTACAACTCTATTTTAAAGATGAGAAAAATGAGGCAGAGAGGTAAATACCTTGCCTAAGGTGCACAGCTGCCATCAAATGCCTTACACAGAGCGCCAAGCCTATCCTGTCAAACAGCTGCAATGGTTATTTTACAGCTATGGAAACTGAGGCACTGAGAGGTAAAGTAACTTGCCCAAGATCACACAGCCGTGAAGTTGCAAGGCTTGCATTTGTATCTGGGCAGTCTGGAGCCCATTTGCTTACCACATAGCCCTGCTGCCCAATGTGAGGGCCAGGAGTCTCCAGTGTTAATTTAAAATGAAATAAAGTGGAAAAGTCTGTTTTCCAGTCACACTTGCACATTTCAAGTGCTCAATATTCTTAAAGTGGCCACTGGCTACAGTCTGGGCCAGAGTAGATCAAGAATATGGCCTCTACCAAAGCAGAAAGTTCCCCTGCATATAGTTGGCCTGTTTTACTTAGAAGCCCACATTTAAAAATTGGGTGATTTTGTTTTAAAATCCCAATTTCTAGCTTCTACCAATAAATAAATCGAACACGAAGTAATCAATTTCAGGCCGACACTTTACATATTCAAACCCAAGGTGCCATCCTCACTTCTCTCGTCCACAGACACAGTCTGAGGTCAGAGAGGGAGATGCATTGTCTGCAGATCACACAGCACACAGGAAAGTACGGCCAGAGCGGGGACCTTAGTGTTCCGGTTCCAACCCTGCTCCAATAAAACACCTACTCCGTGCTTGGCAGTCCATCAGCCACTGTGGGAGAGGGATCCTAGTGTCCCTGATTTCACGGAGATGCCCTGCCTCTGGAGACTCTCTGGGCACAGGAGTGATGGCATCTGGGATGGATTTTATTGGACATGTGACTGCCCACTTGTTGGATCTGGGTGCCCTGGGGTCAGGTACTGAGGCTAATTGGAGCGAGGCCACAATTGGCTGGTGAGAGAGCCGAAGAAGAGCTTCTCCTTGCTGGACTTGGAGAAGTCGGCCAGGAGGAACTGCTACTCCTCCTGCTTTAAGCAGCTTTGCCGCTGTTTAAAAGCTTTGAGCTGGTCCTCCTCCAGCGCATAATGCTCCAGCACGGTCCGGACAACCTCCACGCCATTCAGTACAATGGTCTTGAGGAAGGCAGACAGGTCCTACAAGACCCAGTCGTTCGAGTTGCCATCCCAGGGCCGCAAGGCAACGCCATTGTAGAGTTGTAAGCGAAAGGTTTCCTTCTTGCAGTCCATGATGACCACACGGGCTCGGTCCCGGTTCAGACACGAAATGACCTTAACATGGTGCCCATCTATGTTAAGGAGGTGATAAGAAATGAAGCCGTGGGGGTCCACGCTGTCGATGAGAGGAAACGCTGTCATTCCGGTCTCCGACATAAAGACGACAATTCCATACAAAAGGGCGAGCTGTTGGAATAAGGTTTCGATGCTTCTTAAACCTCCAGCCAGTGGCCAACGACCACTCAGGGTGCAGGAGGACACCAGTGAGCTCCAGGACCAGCGTGTAGGGTGGCTGGTAGTACGGTTCCCGTAGAGGGTCTGGGAGCAGGCAGGAGCTGGTGGGTTCGATGATCATCTGCCTATAATCTTTGAAATTAGGTCCGGCGCAACTGCTGTACCAGAACCGATCATTGTCAAATTCATCGGAATCTTGGCACCGGTTTCATCCACAGAGTTGTTTCCGAAGATGTAGACGAAGCTCACAGTTCCACCGGCTCCAAGCAGCCCAGCAAGCCAGAGCGCGACTTTCTTGGCACAGCTAGGACCCTCGGAGCCCCGCGGCTGCTGTGACCCCTGGGCCTGAGTGCCTGGGGGTGGGGGTGGGGTGGGGAGGTGGTGTCGCCAGCCTCGTGCACAAACCCCCGACGCCAAGTCGAAGCCCGCTTCGCAAGCTCAAGAGCAGCGCCGCCGAGGTCGCCATCTTGCCCTAAAACACTTTTTAATAAGGGAATACAGAAGCTTGTGGACAGATGGACAAAGTGTATCAAAAATCAAGGTGATTATGTAAAAAAAAAAAAAAAAAATGATGCATTTGTCTTTTCTAAAAGTTGATTAAAATAAATTCTACAGCCAGAGTGCAGATAATTTTTGACTCACCCTCATATGTATAGAGTAAGCCTTAGGTGGTGCACTATGGAGCACAGTTCTTCTCTGAAATGCATGGGGTCACCAGGAGTCTGAGTTAACTCCACAACAACTTTTTTTTATATATAAGAAGAGAACATCGACTTTCTCTTCTTTTATCCTCAGGTTTTCAACACTTGCCTTCAATCAGCCAAACCCAATAAATAAGTACAGGGTAAGGGAGTTAAGGGAGTTTTGATGTTGTAATTTTTAGGAGTCAGGGCAGAGAAGTTCCCAAGAGAGCCAATGGAGAATAACTAGAACAGTCAAGATATATTTGACTTCAATACCACGAAGCCAACTCAAACTAGTTTAAATACTAAGGAAATGTATTTATTTCATTAATTGGCAGTCCAGAGGCAAGGTGGGCTTTACATTTGGTTGAACCAGAAGCTCACACTTGGGAAAATAAGTGATTTCTCTCTCTCTCTCTTTTTTTCCCCAAAGACTTGGCTTCATTTTTGGCCAGTTTTTCTGAATTGTTGTTGTTAAATACGGTGGAGTCAGTTCCAACTCAGACCAACTTCCTAGGAGCAGCTGGTCAACTTGAATTTCCAACCTTGTGGTTTGCAGTCTAGTGCTGATCCTACAAAGTCACACCAGTAGTCATGGAGTTCTGGTGTGGTGTTGGACCTCAAGGAATCCTATACAGGTTTGCTATGAGTCAGAGCTGACTTGACAGCAATTAACAAAAGCAACAGCAATTAAAGTCCTGTGCTTCCTTATTCACTTTCAATAGGAAAGTAATGACTTCCTATGGATCCCCCAGTTATGCAAAGAATCTCCTATCCTGAAAACCTCCAGCACCTTAAAGAGATACAGTAAATGCTTGTAGAGAAATTGTATTGTTCTTCTACCTTATTGCTGTTATTGTTATGTGCCATTGAGTTGGTTCCAACTGCCAATCTTCTGGTTAGCAGTGCTTATCCTACAGCATAACCTTAAAGCACTAATAAGCTGAAACTATAAATGATGACTTGGATCTTTTTCTGTTTCTTGCTTTTTTAAAAATGTCATAATACATTTCTCTTAAATGGTCTCCTCTTTGTTTCTTCATTTTCATAGGCTATGAAGGTACTTCAAGGATGGTGGCAAGCTAAAGAAATACCTTGCTCATTTGTAAATGAAATGAATGTGTCTCAGGAAAACAGCTAGCAGAAATTAATGTTA